CAGACAGACAGACAGACAGACAGACAGACAGACAGACAGACAGACAGACAAAGACAAAATTGGTGTGCTATGAATTTAATAAGCCTTTTTTTTATAATTTAAGCAATTGTAAACCTCTGTTGGGTTTCAGTGGGTTCCTCGGCTGTCTGTTACAGTGATTGATGAGATGCAGCACTTCTACTGCAGGGATTGCTTTCATTCTGATTTATTCTAAAATAGACAGTGTGTGCTGAAGTTTGTAGAAAAGTTTTTTTTTCTCTCTCTCTCTTTCTCTCTCTCTCTTTGTTTACTTAAAGTTTTGCATATCCTCCAAAAAATCAAAATAAGCACATAGCCTCCAATGGGGTGTTTTGCATTTATGGGTGCTGCAAGCAAAGTTTGGATATGTGCTGACTGAAATACTAGGTGGAAATTGCAGTGGAAAATCAGCATTGTTGAGTGTGGAACTCGACTTTTTAGAATTTGATTTAGAATGATAGTTCATTCAAAAATGAAAATGTACTCATCTTCAAGTGGTACCAAATCGTTACAAGGTTATTTATTCTGTTGAACAATTAAAAGAAGGTATTAAAGATGCCATATACTGCATTGATTTAATAAGTTAAATTGTTCTCTGATATCTACATCGGTTTATGACTTCGGTAAGTTAAAATAAAATCCAGAAACAGTTTTATAAGCACTTTTATGACTCCATAAAATACCCATAAAATCAGAAGATCCATGATTGACCATATATGGTTTGTTTCATGAATATTAATGAGCTCCGCTCTGATGTGCAAGTGGTGCTCGCTGCAGAGCCATTTGGGCGAGCTGAGCTCCAGCGAGGGGGGAGCTTGAGCTTGAGCTCCACCTTTTTTTGCACTTCTTCTACGAGTGATGTCACTGGGGGTAGGGTTAGGGGTGGGGTTGGTGTACGCATTAAAACAGCTTACAGGAGGCAGAACGAGAGCTCATGCTCCCCCTCGCTGGAGCTCAGCTCTGCTCAAATGGCTCTGCAGCGAGCACCCTCTCCTGATGTGCCACTCTTACAGACACACACATACAAACATCATGATGCATGCTGAACAAGGACAAATATAAACCCAATCAAAGTAACTTTAACCTATTTTGCTCACCAGATCTGTTTTGGATAAAGGCTAAATTATAATTCAAGAGTTCCCACTTAGATATGCTTTTCGTTTATAGCAGGTTTGGCATGCTGTCCCGGGGGGAGCCCTGAACTTGAAGATACTTGAGCCCAAGGCTCCCATCCAGTCAATAAGCATATAAGGGGTTCCGAGATCAGATGGTCTCGATCGAGAGCTCCCCCTTGGAAAAGGGGAGGAAAAGGAGGAGATGGGGTGGAAGGGGGATTCTTCCAAAACGAAAATAGAGCAGTAGGGAGAAAACGATCCATTTATTGTAAACTAGGATCACCCTGATTGAATTATTACTGATTACAGATGAGCAGCCAGTTGTGCTCAATCATATCACGTGCTCTTCTTGAAATTAGTTTATGAAACTTCACTTAAACTTGACAAAAGAGAATGACAGAGATGTGGCATTGTATTTTGAATCTATAGTCAAATAAATAGCCAGGAATTAGTATCAACTTTTGCATAAACAGATGACAGTTCAGTGTTTGTTGAAACAGACGCATCAAATTTCACAATAAACATGATAAATTAACAAAATATGTAACTAAAAAAATATTATGCCTCTTCAGAGTGGCGATGAATAAATGTATAATCTTTAAATCTTGCATTTTGTTTGCTGAGGCGATATTGAAACATGTCCCATTAACACACAGTAAACAATTTGGCGCTCACGTTTTCAAAATAAAAGTCCCATATACACAGTAAGTGAAATATATGCCTAAAAATAACGAAGGAAAGACAATTTTTTTATGGTTGTATTACTAGAAAACGTTGTTAATTATTAAACGTAGCATGAGACGTGCATATTAATGGTCTCAGAGCTATTTTTATGATCTCAAAGCTTGATGACATGGCTGCTCGTCAGGTCTGGATAAACGACCCAAATTAGGCATGGAAATGTGGAGGGCATGGACCTTGAGTCTCGCCAGAGTTTGTTTTGTCTTCTGATTGGGCCATTGGTTGTACAATTTTTGCAATTTGGAATTGGTTGTTCTTGTGGAATTTACATTTCCTGGAATTAATAGGCTCACAGTATGCCCATTTCTATATACTTTTTTTTTTTTTTTTTTTCTACTATACCTTGGTATATCCAGATCTTCATTACAGGGCACCTTTAAGAAGGCTTCAAGCATTTAAGATAAATAAATACTATGGAAGTCAATGGTTAAATATCCAAAATATCCTGTTTTAGGTTTTACTAAAAAGCAGAAATTCAAACAAAAGATTTAGTTTAAGTGGAGTGTGTCAATGATGACTTTTTATTTTATTTATTTTATTTTTTTGCTTTGTTTTATGTGAATTGTCCCAAAAGATTTATTCATTAATGAGCTTTATCTAATATTCAAATGTAATATTTTCCATAATATAACTTGGCAGCATGCTAACAGCACTAAAATACAAAATTACAGGATCCAAAAGCGCTAAAGAAGAAGCAGAAAAAAAAGAACTTGATAGATGCATTATCAAAGCACAATTAAGCTGTCAAATCAAAGTGAAATGTTTCTTAAGCACATTTATAAGTATGCTGGCATGAATCTCTACCTCAGAAGTCAGAGGTGAACTGTTTACTGAATTGTAGTGCTTCACCATTTTGAAAAAAAAAAAAAAAAGATCTTCAAATTGGTGACACGTTGAACTAGTGTGTTAAAATGTACACCCACCCGTCACGGCCCTGGCATTATCTTTGAGAGGTTGTGCAGTTCTTAACAGCTCCAGCTAAACACATGATAGATGATAGCATGCTCCAGTTAGCAAGTTGAAAGATAGAGCAGAAGCATGCCAGAGTTTTAAAACATATTTTTAAAGTGCTGAAACTGAGATCCGTTTAACCCTGAATAGAGATCTTAAATGCTATATTGACTACTAAACAGTGGAGATCAAAATTTATAAACAACCTACAATTTTTTTACATTTTGAGGTCACTGCTATCTGAAGTTGTCCTAATAGAAATGAAATTGTATGAGTATATACTGTGTTTCCAGGATTTTTTCCAGCTGTGGCTGCAAGCCTTTAACACAAATCTACTAAATACCTATGGCGTTATTTCAATGACAAATGGAGAACTGTCTTAAGAGCAAAATTACAAGTCGAGATCTAGCAAGCCAAATTGCGAATGTTTTGATTTCTTGATTTTTTAAATTTTTTTTTTTATTGCAGTACTCAAGCATCTATAACCTTTTACATTTTGGACATTATAAACTCTAGATCAG